GAGAAAGGAGATATTTTAAAATCGCTAGATGCGATGAGGTATTTGTTGCCTCAACTCGAGTCATATTTACTATTCTTGTGGGTACCCGAGTAACATCGGGATGCTTTATTGCTTCCCAGGTTTAACTCGTACCCTACTAAACTATAGAGGTATCCGTCAAAATAGTTTCCATAGCGAAACTTATGATGACAACAAAGAGAAATATCTTCTCTTTACCATATGCAACGGATATGGCAAGCACATTCTCTATGTATCATCGGCATTGCACTACACATACTACAAAACCCGTAGCACATGTTGCGCACGAGATAGTTTTCCAATGTGTCTTTTGCATGACAAACTTGGCATTCCTGCTTTGGTCATCATTGACATTGGGTTGAAACCAAAACTATTAACAATTCCACTGGTTTATGATTGCTATGATGCTAAATTCTAATAACATTTGGATTTTATGTGCACTACAAGTGACACAGGGAAGCTAATTTTAAGGCTCCCACACCTTAAAGTCTACGCTGAACCACTCAGACTCCTTGAATGCGTCAAGTTGAGGTAAGTGGCTCTTCCCATCCATTGACTAGACTATTCAGATATTCCATGGTTCTAAAAGACATATCTACATGATGGTCTTAAGTGTGTGCTTTATTCACACGAAACCATTGGCTCATTATCCTGACATCGATTTCAAGCAAATCGAATGGATAACATTGCAGAATTCTCCTTGAGTGCCTTCTGTATGGCCCTTGGATTGAAGTTTAGCAATTTGTCCTAATGTCTAGACTCAAAATGGTTTGGTAGAATCCTATCCAAAGAGTTAAGCTCATTGCATTATCTTTACTTTGGAATTGCAACTTACCAACTTTACGTTGGCGTCATGCAGTTTTACACGCTCATGATAGAACTGCATAATATTATTTCCCTCTATCTTTGATATGTGGATATCTACCAAGTATTTCCTATCTGCGGTAATTTGGTTGCATATCGATATCACCACCCGGCATACTTCATTGCCCCCTCAACATATAGTTGGGATCTATGTGAGGAATAACTGTATTTCCGTCAATACCTCGAGCCCCTCGCATGGGGAGTTATTCAAGGCCAGTATGTTGATTCATGAGGAATATTTCCAGGCATTAGGGGAAGATTTCAAGTACCATAAAGAATACCAGGAAATTAGTGGAATGTTCAACACATTTCTACCTCAAATCCACGCAGTCAAAGATCTGAACCATGCGTTCAGAAGATTTGCATCACATTGCAAATAACCTGCCAGATTCATTTACTGACTATAAAGGTGTCACACAATCCTATAATCTTGCAAAAATATGCCTGAAAGAGTGATGGTACCAACAAAATTCACTCCACTCCCTGTTCATAGCAACAAGGGGAGATGTATAGTAGAAGTACATCAGGATTCAGCTTCCCGCAAGCAAGGATATCAAGGCCTGTGAATCAGTAAATGCAAGTCAACTTCATGTTGACAGACACCTATTGGATAGTATACACCCAGTGAACGGGAAACCTCCACTAACCCAGGTCATAGTGCACACAATGACCAGGACATCGGAATACCCGACTCAATCGCATTGGGAAATCGCGAGCAGTCACCATGGGTAACGATATTTCCATCAAGTTTATATTGATATATAGATTCTGGAGAATCATATAACCAGAAGTCTACAATTGTCGACATATATTTCTCAACTAGATTGCAAAAACCGTTCAAATGATTCAGATCCAAAGACCATGGCCATGGCAAAGTGTGAACAACACTCGGACTGAACTCAAGCAAAGGGTATAATCTAGGTAGAAATGATCTTGCTCAATAATGGGAAGGTATTCATAAGCAATACCAACACCAGTTTTCTTCTGGAAACGAAATTGAGAACAATAAGGTGGTGAAACATAGAGCAAGTATTGTAGCACAAGGGTTCATGCAGATACCCAACTATTCTCCAGAGGTGGAATCTCTTTCCGATAACTTATATCATTGGCAGTACAAAATCATCTATCTCTGCAGTTGATAGATGTAGTGATTACATATCCATGTCGATCACTAGATTCAGACATATATGATTGATTCCCGATGGAGTCTCAATTCTGAATCGAAATACAAAATGCAACATATATTGTGTAAAACCGGTAAGCCACCATACGACTTATTGTTGTTGGTACATATGGTACAACCGACGTAGTGAGATCCTTATACACAAGGATTACTCCTACAATGATGAGTATCCATGTGTTGTGTGTCTGCAATGATGACACATGTAATCATCTAAGTGACGGACTTGAAAATAAGGATTTGGGTAAACCAAAATACTGCTCGTTACTGCAACTTGAGCACCTTCATTCATACATTATGGTATACTATGTTGTCTATATCCAAAATATATTGGAGAAATTCATTGTGGACAAATTGTATCTATCCACAACTCTCATGGTAGTTCATTCTCTAGACGTAGAGAAAGATCTATTAGACCAAGAGATGATGGAAATGAGATATTGGGACTCAACGTTCCATAATGCCATTCGGATCCACCAAACAAATTGATTGGTACTCAAGAATATCTTTCGATATCTTCAAGGCATGAAACATCTTGTCCTGGTTTTTCAGTTTTCGGAGAAATCTGAACTGAACACCAATATCATTGGATACATCGATCAGATCCCCACTATCAGATCATAGACAAGTTTAGTGTTCCTACTAGGTGTGGTAGCCCTCTCATGAAGAGTCTTCAGATCAGACCTCATGGCTACATTCACCAACCATTATCTCAACGATAATGTTTCTTGTGTTGCCCGGATGCAAACAGGTTACATAATAAGCAATATCACTATATTGCATATCTTGCAAGTCAAATCATGCGACTGATTTGTTCAGCGGGTCTCTACCAACTTCCATGTTTTGGTATGTGACGGCTTCGAATTTTTGCAAGAATCAGGGGGAGTATCTTCCTAAATTGTTTTTGTTCAATGCATCATATTATACTCTTTTTCCCTTCATGAGTTTACTTTACAGGTTCTCATAAAGGTTTTTAATGAGGTAATATCAACATGAGATCATATGTCATACTTTCTGTTTTCCCCACCGGGGTTTTTAGGAAAGTATATACGACATATTTATTGTCCTCTAAACTCTATGGGTTTTCTCGTATTGAGTTAAAAGAGACAATAACCATTATATGTTGCATCATTTTCTTCTTATTTTTCCCACTGGGTTTGAAGAAGTTTTAGCAACATATGAAACATCTATCTCCTCATATTTTTTCCACAGGGTTTTTAGTGGAGCTTCTCAAGATGATGATACTTACACTGACAAGCATGGATTAGGGGGAGTGTTAGGATTTAATTAATCCTATTAATCCCTACTTTTTCTAAAGGAGGCAGTTGTCTCGTGTCCCTTCGAAAGACACCCCTTCGGGGGCTATATATATGTGTAACACATCATCAATGAAAACAAGGATTCATTTTTACTTCTCTGTCTCTCTCGTTTCTCTTTAATAGTTAGAGTATCTACAATCAGATTTGGCAAATTCGGTCCCTTAAATGCTCGTGGACGTGTCCGCGGGCACTAACCAGGCACGTCTCATATTTCTTTTTCACATACAATTTTTTCATATTCATCCTCTAAATCCATACAAAACCATGCAGAATATATAGCTACGTACTACATTTTTACTATTCAAATTTTGTCATTGGCGGCGATGGCCGGAGCCGCCTGCGCCGAAGCCGGAGCTGCCAGCGTCGGAGCCTGCGCTGCCTGCACCGCCTCCATCTGTTGCCGACGGCGACGCTTGGCCTCTGCAGCCGACTCCATGCGGATGGAGTTCAGGATGGCGTGCTGCTCCAGCCACACGCCCACGTCCTCCTCCATCATCGGCGCCGCCTCGTCCCCCACATCCAGCAACACTGCCTCCTCCTCTTCCTCCT